AGCGCGCAGTGGGCGCTTCGCCCTGCGGCGAGCTGGCGGCGAGTCACCGCACCACCAATTCGCACGAGAAGAACAAGCACCAACGGAAGGAAGATGCCAAAACGCTCTACTATTTCAGAACACGGATTTGAAAGCCCTTAGTAAACGACCGAGCAAAGGGGAATACTTCAGGACTCTGCCTTAAGATAAAGCGTTTACCCTCGAGGCTTTTCGCCGACTGCGCCCGCTCCGGCTGCTCTGTACCACTTGCCCCCCGCTCACTTTTGCAGCCAAGTTTTGAGATCCTGCGAGCGCCTGGCAGCTCGGCCAGGGGGACACCCAGGGCTGAACACGTTGGCCTCCCTTTTGAGATACGTTTCGCATCGCAGCCATTATGCGTAATCAGCCCAGCAAATTTCAAACAGCTGGGCTGCAAAATGGAGAACTGTTTGAAAAAAAAAAAAAAAGACACCCAGCCTTCTGTCACCATTTCCATTATACACCCACTTTCTTATGGTTTCATAACTTGGCTGTTGCAACTCGTGGCTGAAGTCACCGCGGCCTCCTTCAGCAAGCGACACCCCTCGTAAACGCGGAGAACAGGCAGGTTGGCCTCCTTCGCCTGGGCATTTGGATCTCGTCTAGCTGATAGAAATACCAGATGTGCGACAACGCTCAAGCTAAGCCACACGAATTAAAGGTGCGCTCGGCATGCACGTTCTTGCCTTTGGACGGCTACCTGCTAAACCCAAATTGTTATCGCGGCATTGTCTTACACACGACGTGGTGTCTCACAGCTCGCGGGGGTGAGCTGCAATGAACAGCACTTTGTCGGGAAGCTTCCCCGCGCACAGGGGAATCGGACTGCAAAATCTATGTTTTGCATTCGTTTTCTGCGTGCGCTGAGGTTATTGTGGTGTCCTGCACTGCCTTAGATGAGTCCTCTGCATGGGTTTACCTGAACCAAGTCTTGAAATCTGAAGACCCCAGTTGCTTCATTAGCAATGAAACAGGATTTAAAAATAAGGAACTTTATAAGCTGTGGCAGAGCATCTAGTTTCTCGCCTGCGCCGGGCATCCCTGCGCGGGGCGTCCCCACAGGAGCGGAGCCCTCGTGGCTGCGCGGGGCACCCCGGGTGCGGGGGGAGCAGCCCGCGCGCCGGTGCCAGCCGCGGGTGTAGACACGCACCAAGGGAGCGTGCTAGATCACCGCCCCAGGAGGGGCACCAAGCACCTGGCCGACAAAAAGAGCAAAAAGCTGGAAGGGTTGTAATAACGCACACAAGCTTGAAGAAAGAAAGGGAGCTTGTGCCCAGTTGCAAAACTTACAGGTATCAAAATATTCTCCCTCTCTAGCATGAGCACACGCATGTACACAGAGACTCCTGCCAACACAGACCAGCGACCTAGGACAGATCAGAAAGGGAAAGCAAACAAAAATACGGCAGAAGGGAGCCAGACGGAGACGGTCTCAGACAAAATCACTAATGTGAACATGCCATCGCTGAGCTTGACCTTGCACCATTGATACAGAGGCCAAGCAGAACCGAAGCCCGGTGAGTCCCAGAGCAAGCAGTCCTGGCACAAGGGGCTCTGCCCTCCTCGGGAAGCGGCCAGACGTCCTGAAAGATTAAGACCTTCTACCTCCTGATGAGAAAACCTGAATAAAATCTAAATTTTACAGCTTAGCCTATCCACGGGTCTTCCGGTGTCCACGGGAAGAGTACTTACTGCATCGCTGAGGAGAAGCAGAGGAGCTGCTAGCAGGCATCAAACTCTCCGACCATTCAAACCCTGGGCACCAGCTACAAGCTCGGTTTCATTTTCTGCAGAAGCATTTCAGCTCCTTGAACACCCAAACTAGCGCTGCTGTCCTGGAGGAGCACTGTGCTGGCTGCTGCTCCCAAGCGGTTATCTCGCAACACCGGAGGCGGTGCGGGGACTTCCCCTGCGGCGGCGGCAGCGGCAGTGAAACACAACTGCACGCCCTGAGGTGGCAGTTTGTGCCGCAAGCTGCTTTCTGGCACTCCGAATTTAATACACCAAGTACTTTATATTAACAGTGACCAACTGAATTAAGGAGCAACCGATCATTGCAATCAGTTGCAATGAGTACACTGCATGCTGGGGATTGCAAACTTTGCTTAAGTATTTGTATTTCGAACCTAAATATTTATTTTGGGGGGGGGGGAAGGGGGTGCAGATAATTATTTTTGATGTCTCCAGAAACTACTTACTGGGGTGGAGAAACACAAGACTAGGTCTCCTGACAGTTACTCTGTTCCTGACGGCTGCAGACAGAAGAAAACTACTTTGCTCCTGTGCCATTTGGTCCTACGTATGGTTCCTCAAGGATCCAAACGTGCCTGAGAAGGGTCAACATAAGCAGCAGTGCAAAGATTTTTAGACTCCTGTGAAACCCAAACGCAGGGCGCTAGTATGATACAGCGTGCATCGAAGGGGATTCCTGCGTCTGCCATGCTTTATCACAG